AAATGCAGAAGCTGAACTTGAGATGGTGTTACAGTCAGCTTGTTAGCAAACTAAATACTGAGAATAAAAATGCCAAAACTGTGTAAAAAAGGAGATATTTTAATATCATGTGCCTTTTGCAGGCTTATTGTTCATCCAGGTTTTTTTCCCATCATTCCAGACATTCCACTAATGCCTTTTGTTTGGAAGTTTTGCACATCTCTGTTTAGCAAATGTGTCTCATCTCAGTTGTCATTTTAAAATGTGATGTTATATTCTACTCTCTTTAACCACCATGATTCAGTGCTTGACTGATGGCCATCATTATCTCTGTTATTTTCTGATGTAAGAAGATATTCCGACATTTATAGCAGAGACTCTTGGACAAAGCTTGGACATTTCTGGCACCTGAATGCATTTAGTTTTCTATTCCTTGTTTTATTTCGCTTCATACTTTAGTGGCCATTGTTTGATTATTTTTATTTTTTAGCTTTAAATGCACACTGTATGTACAAAAGAAGCCTTCTGTTGAGGCGTCATCCTTCACTCGGAGTCAGCGTGGTGATAATGAGTTGATTTGGAGATGCACTCTGCAGGCTGCCTGCACGTGCATGCTTATGTTTGGACGTCGGTTCATATTTACTCAGTAAATGTGGATATAACCATTGCGTTCTACCTTGCATTTGTGTGTGTGTTTATTTATTTTTTTGATAAGTGCACACACACCTGACTGTGTGTGTGGGAGATTTTCAGTGTGCGAATATGTCAGGTTGCCGCAGGAGACCAATTAGCTGGTGCATCAGTGAGGAGGTGAGCATAGACACACCTGTGTGTGGCCCTATTACACCAGCTCATCACACACTCACACACCGACACACAGACAGCATTGCTGTGCTCATAATAGAAATATACTGACAGTTACAGTACGTTGACCATATGGAATAATGACTTCACCGTGTCAAACTGTCAGCCGTGAGTCACCAGCATGCCTTATTTCAACTGCATGTTACTAACTTAACAAACTTTTGTGATTTATAGGTTTTCTTGCTGCTGCTGAATGGTTGTCATTAGCTATATGTACTTTACAACAGAAAATTTCCTGACCTTAAACCGCGTGCCTTGTAGCATTCATACACAGGTATGGTGCACTGATGCAATTAGGTGAGAGTGAAAGGAAGATCACAGCCAATAAAGCAGCCAGGCATCTTCATGTATAATTCAGATCTTTTATGGTGGGCTATGTACCCATATGGAAATCCTAAAGGAAGACTGAGGCCATTTTCTGCCAGAAAAAAGGCCTTTTAAAAGCTGATCCCAGTGCCAGAGTCTGGCACTTTTTACTGTTCCTTTTTAATGAATAGGTGTCCAATAAGGCCTTTTATTGTCTTAGCATATGTTGCTTTTATTAGAGGAAAATAATTAGGTTGCGCGGATCACTTCGGAAGTCCTCCCACAAGATAAAAATGAGATAGTTTCACAGTCGTTGCGCAAGTCCTTCTGACTCCCCGTCGTTTTCCTCTTGGATGCCCTGTGTCCTGTCTCCTTCACCTTCTGCTCCGCTTCGTTTCCTATTCCTTCTCTTCGTCCCTTCTTCATAATCCCTCCCCTCCTCCACGTGTCCTTTACGTTTCCTCCATTTCATTCCTCACTTCTGCTAGTTTTTCTTTGAAGGTGTGTGTTAAATGTATGCAGCGATGCTGCACTGGGCTGCACATTTTCACACGTGCGCACGCTCTCATGTAACTGATGAACAATCAAGAGTGTGACGGGAGGCTGTTGATGACTGACACTGTTGATCCTATCTGGTGCCAACTGGGTGAGGAGAGGGCCTCGGAGAGAAAGGGAAAGGAATAAGTGCGTTGATGTGTGGGGGCAGGGCGGAGGGGCAGTGGGTTTAATTTTTATTTTTTACTGTGCTTTGTGTTGTGTTCCTGTCACTCCTGCACAGTTTTCCTCCTCAGCTCCTTTATTTCTCTGCTTTATCATCCACCTCTACATCACTCTGCTGGCTCAGAAACAAAGACTGCCAACAGGCCTCTTCGGTGATCCTGAACACCATGGGAGGAGATCCATTTGCCTCCAACATGTCATGCTATAATTGTTTGCCCACGAGGACCTCAGTTACAGAAACACTGAATGCCCATAGGTTTTAGTCCAAGAAAAAAAAGGGGGTGTGTGGGGGGGTCAGGAAACAAGGAAAGGCTTAACTAGAAGGTAAAGGGTGAGGCAGACAGACAGAGAGACTGAGTGGACACGACGAGGGGAGGGACTGGGAACCAAAGAGGGAGGAGGCTGGTACTCCATCCTGGCTTTAATGCTCCTCGGGGGAGCACGCTGCCTTTAGGTGAGTATTAGCCATCAGCCTGTGGGCTAATGGACGCTACGAAACATAGTTTAGTACAAACAGATGACCAGAGGTAGACTAATCACCTGAGAGACATATGATGAAGGGCTTTTATGCACTTTTGGACCAAAGTGGAGCTTGCTAAGGTGAAAAACAGACTGGAAAAGCCCTTTTTTTTCTTTTTGTTTTCAAACTACTCTGTCGTAGATACCAAAAGCACGTTTACCTTGTTAAGTAAAGGCAGCTTGGGCTGTCTATTGTAGCATACCTGCTACATGATCTGCTTTCCTATGCCAATAAACAATTGGTTAAAATGACCACAGAGAAAGAGTTTGTCTGGAGAAAAGCTGGTTTAACACGTCATAAGCTTAGACACACCTTTACATTTGCATGTCCCAACCCACTTCAACATTGGAAAATGTAAACGTCTGTTGGGGTTTTTGCTAACCACAGAACAACGCTAGCTCAAGCTGTTGCCAATGTCCTTGTTGGACAAGAGAAATCAACATAAAAGAATTTTGGAGCACTGCTCACGTCCCAGGATGTGCTGGGAATATCCTGACTTTAAAATAACACTAAACAGTTTCCAGCTTCTCCGCCCTACTGGTTGAAATTGGAATTACAACGGTCATACACAACCCTGCAGCAGTCTGCTGTTGCTAGCGCTATCAGTTACACTAACATGAGCCAAGTCACGAAGTAAAAGATCCACACTGTTGGACAAAAAGTATTACTTATAAGTCTAGTATCAACAAAGCCAGGTCACCATTAGTCCATGCTTTCATAGCCTCCTTTAGCTCCTTCAAACGAGTGCAGGCTGTGCTGACTTTCACTCTGGTTTTACCTCTTTGCTTTGCCTCCAAAGACTTTACATCCAGGCTCCGCCATGATGCCAACAAAACAGCAAACTTCTTTTTTCTACTTCCTGTGTTTTTATTGACGGTCATTGAAGTGATGAAGCTAACTGCTAGCCTTTTATTAGCTTCTGGCACAGAAAATAACTAACAGCCATTAAGCAGGTAAAGAGCGCCCCCAAGGACACATACCCGCTCCATAAAACTATTACGTGCTGTTTCTGGTGGGTGGAGTGGTGCAGATTGCTGTCCCATGTGAAATTGGTAAACTTTCTACCAAGACAGTTGCTGAACCCCACTTTTTAAAGGGAGATTAGGCAGTTTTGGCTTGCTTTTAGCCCCCTAGTGTCTACTTAGTAGAACTGAAAGCATATATCTCCTTGCTGTGCGTTTGTCTTGTTAACACCTTAAACAGCTGAAATGTCTCCCCAGCCTTCAGACTACAGGAGTGATTCATCACTAAATTAAACAAATCAGCTGCGTTCATGATCTAAAACATGCAGGAAACGTGCTGGAAGCAGACTGCAGCACCAGGTATGTCAGCTCAATTGTTTTCTAAGTCCAACAAACTGGACCGGCACTCTGAAGTTGCAAATGTGGTATTCTGACCACAGAGGGTAGTGGGGGTCTGAGTGACATTTCATGAACCCTGTAAAGGGTCATTTTAGCACATACTGGCTCAAGAAAATGATTTCAAAATATTTAAAAGTTGCCTAGTATCCCTTTAAGGGATTGGCCCCACCCTGCTGTTTGAAAGAGCCGGACACACTTCCTCCCCTCTCTCCAGTTTGGCCAATGTTTTTAGGGCTCCTGTGCCACTGTGAGCCCCAACAATGTTTCTGATGCTGTTTAGAGACTCAAACAGCAGTTTTCAGTTGTAAAAGAAACGAAGTTCTAGGTCCTCTTTAAATGTTAACTTGTTATCCCTGGTTTAACTAGTAAATGGGTTGTCTTCAGGGACCTAGGCTTGACATAATTTTTTCTTTAAATTATTTTAAACAGAATAACCAGTAAGAAGCATCTCTATCTAACAGCAGAATCTGAGGCAATTTCACCCAAACCTTCTGACAATCATTTAGTTTAGTTATCATTTAGTATAACAGCATTTAAACCTTTGCAGTGTTATAGGACAACATGCTACTGCACACACACTTACACACAAAGAAGAGTAAAACCTTTTTATTGTAGTTCCCAAAAAATCTGAAAACCTTTCTGCAGTTTGAAGAATAAGCATTTTCTCCCAGATTAACTTTTCCCTCTCTGTCAGTCAAAAGGCCTAACTCTGTTTTCACAGATATTAGACGTGTAAACACTTATTTCTGAGTCACAGTTTAATTCCTAACTTTATTTGCCTCATATTGTCCGTAAACGTTGGGAGAGGCCACTGCAGATTCATGAGCGAGCGTCTGGAAGCTTTCTGAAGTGTGTGCCGGGGTGTTTGAGGGAGCTAATCTCTTTTTACCGTGGTTGAATGATCAAACTGAATAGAGGGACAGCTTGTTTATCTAAAGGGGAACCGCATTACCCAGGATTCCCTCCGCAGCGAGGCCAGGCACGCTTAGCTGAGCTGTCAACTTGCCGAGGCCTGAAGGCAAAAAAAAAAAAAAAAAACACACATGCACGCACACATTCACAAATAAACTGCACACTCAGAAAACTTTGCTTTCAATGGTTATTTATTAAATGTAAAATATCTTTAGCACAGATTTAAAATCAGACACCTCCATATATTTTTGAACATCACAGGTTGAAAAAAAGAAACTAAAAACATTCCTGAAACAGAATCACAATCAGTTTGGAGTCCGACTCAGAGAAAAGCTACGACACGAGGCTGGGCAGAGGGCTGAGCCAAAACCTGCACTCCTCCTGATCCCTTAAATAAAAGAGACAGAAATCCTGAAGCCTTCGCACTTTTTCTTTTCCACCAAATGTTTGTGGAGTTTGGGAACTTTGTTTCCATAAATGAGGGACAAAAACACTTAGTTCACACGTCAGTTTGGTTTAAATATTACTAAAATGGAATAAAACTGCCCCTGTGTTCCTGACAGCTTGCCAAACTTAAACTAAAATGGGAATTTGACAAAACAAATACAGATTTTCTGTAGATTTGCTGCAAATCTAAAGGGCGTTCACACGGGCGTGCGCTGTAATGATCTACTGTTGGTGCCAGGAACCAACTTCTCAAACGGCGTCCCAGGCGTGGATAGCTTTGCCAGCTTTAGTACCGCTGCTGAACTGGAGCGCCATCACAGAGGTCAGCCGCCCCTCTCTTCTCTGCTCTGCCTCAACCCTCGCTGCTGTACAAATGCCAACTGACAACAACTGACACAGATGGTGAGCAGAAAACACAGGACATGGAAGAGAACCACCCACAGGAGTAAGAAAACAGGAAGACTCTACGCACACTGTCCAAGAGAGGATATTGCCTGACAATATTATCAACTTGTTTATTTGAAACCTTTTTGTTGTGTTCTTTTCTATTTTTCTACTTTTTTTTTCTTCCCGCACATGCTTTATGAGAGGTTATAAAAGTACCTGAAAGAATTGCTAAATTCTCAGCATGCATAGCAGTTATTATTTACAGGTTTATTATGTACAGGGGTGAGCCCAAAAAGACACAATAATGGCTTATTTACACCCAGGTCAGGAGAGGAGGACGATGCCATAACTACAGATGTGTGTGAGGGTCAAAGGTCACATGCATAGGGGTCAGAGAAAGCTCATACAGCTGAGTACGACTGGGATGACAAAGACACTGAACAAAACACACCAAAAGTAACGTTACGGTGGATTCAACGACGTAGCATCTCTCCGTATAGCTTGTGAATACGCTCAGCGAGGATTTCTCGACTACCGCTTATTGCTCAATACTTTACAACGACATTCCTATTGCACGTCCAGGAGGTTCCCGGGTCTGTATTGAGTTTGGAAGACTCAGATCTGGTCCCAGAACTAGCGCTGCTCACCAAACGTCGGTTTATTGCAGGATGTGTTTTACTCCCAGTGTTTGGACCCTTTTATAGAAGTGGTCTGTAAAGTTCTTGAGGTATTTTACTCTTTCGGATTGTTTTATTGCTGTAATCTTTTGGTATATTTTAGGATTAGGTACAGCTTATTCTAATTATTATTATTGTAGCTTTAGAGTGGATTTTCTTTTGTGTGATTTGGGTTTCTGAACGCTGCTCCTGTTCATTAATGACACAGTTTAGCATAAAGCTTTCAAAGCTAGGTTAATGCACAGCTGAGATTGTTTTAGGGTCAGGGTTAGGGTTCTTTAGCTTCTAAGAACTAAAATATGAAGTTTCTTTAAATAACTGAATGGTAAGGGTATAGTATTTAGAGGGGAGCTTGTGAGTGCCTTTAAGTAAATATCCAATCAAAGAAGGATCTTTCATATCTAAGTTTTACGATCTTTTGAGGTTGTTATTGGGCTTAGTGTTTCTTAGTGTTGGTTTTAAAAGTCCAAATCAAATTTCACATCCTAATTTTTTTGGTCAAGTCCAAATTTGCACTCTGACTGAAAAAGAGCTAAAAATCAGTAGAGCTTCATAGAAAAGTTCTGCACACGTGACTCTCGTTTAGTTGCAGAACACAGAAAGACACGCTGAGATCTAAACCTACAGGACTTCTTCATTGTAGATGATTCTGAATAGCCTTACTGTGTCCCTACCTAGGAGTGTGTGTGTTCTTTTGTTCCTACATGTAAATGTACCTGTGTGCAACTGTGTGTAACGCTCGCTGTCGAACACACACACACACACACACACACACACACACACACACACACACACACACACACACACACACACACACACACACACACACACACAATGATAAATGGCCGTGGTGGGTGGCTGAGCATGTTAATGCCTAATCTCATCAGCCTTATCTCTTACAGAGGTCGCAAGATCAAGTGGTGGGGGGGAATGAGCTAAACACCAATAAGATAGTCCAAACAGTCCATGTAATACTTTATCTGCCTCCAACTTGACCGCTGTGCTCTGGATTTACTTTATAAAGAACTGAAGGACTTGTTAAACACGTTAGAGAAGATTTCCAATGACAGAAATCATAATAATTTGATATTTTTAGCTCTGTGTTTTACCTTAAAGCAGGAACAGTAAGTGCACACTAACATCTCTGAAAGTTAGCCAAGTTCAAGGGGTGTCAGTGAGTCAGCGCCCCCCAGAACCTGAACCCTCTGTCAAGTTTAAAAGGCATTTCGCTTTCAGACAAACTAAATCAGATGCCCTAAGTGAGGGAGATGAGTGAGACGGAGTGTGTATGAACCTCCAACTCAGAGACACTGCCTGGCATTTGTCTGTCTTTGATATGGCGACATGTGACGTGGGTAAAGTTATCGCCTCACTGGCAGGTGAGACAGACGGCAACGCTCAGAGAGATGCCGCCGTTTCATCTGCCGTTTACCAGCTCTCTCATCATGCTGCACTTCAAACACGCTCAATCTGCTGCTGCAGAGCTGGTCCTGCACAGTGTGTGTGAGAGAGTCGGTACGGAGGAAAGCAGTTCTCCAAATCTGCTTTGTGTTTAATTTTATTTATATTTTGTCACTTGCAAATGCATTCAGTGTATATTTTTAACTGAATCTTTAGCCCTCTAAAGATCCTTCCACGTCATGCATGCTGGCCTCGCAGCTGCTTTAGGAAACTGTTCAAACAGTTGGCGTGTAATGTGCCTCCATTATGCATGTGCGTATATCTGTGTGTGTTGCCTATGTTTGACTACGGCGCATATGGGCTCGTCTCAGTGTGTGCCAGTGCTCTGCGCTAAAACTCTCATCATGCTCATCGGAAGATAAAGAGCGCGCGAGCCATTTCATGTGGTTGTACAGAAGTCGTCTCCAGAGCCGGAGTTTGCCGGGAAGCTGTCACAGCAGCTTTGAGCGGGAGCTGCAACATGAAAGATCCCTCTTTGAGCAGTCGGGTTATGTGTGTAATGCTCTCTGATGTGTTTATTCTGCTGCTGTTTTAACTTTCATTTTCAAATGTCACAGAAATCTCCCCTCCAAGAATATCCCTGCTAATTAATGACTGATGGGGTGGGCTGGGGTGGGAAACTTAGCAGGTTGCATCCAAATACCCTTTTGACTTTTGCACTGCGTCTGGGTTTGAGACGACGTAAAAACTTTCTGGAGACTTTATAATCTCCTCCTTTAACCTTGAGAAAAATAAATCCTTGTGTGGTGTAAATGTGTGTAACCAACTAACTTATTATATAGATACAGAATTGTACTTTTTGATACTTATATTCAGCTTTACAAGCCCCGCTGAGCTCCCTGTACACATAATGTGAAAATATACATATTCATTACCATCAAAACTCCTTTTTTTCTGTTAGTCATGTACATGAAAGCTGTGTTTTCACAATTAATCCCATCCAGACCGGAACCGGTCTTGTTTCCTGTTCGTCCTGTACAGTAGAAGGTCCTGCACATGTAAAAAGATAAATAAATAAATATATGTACATTATTATATGTACAGTATGCCGCTCCCGTGGTAATTTAACCCAGTCGTCATGGGTTACAGGGAGCAGGGTGAGACAGCGTGTGCATGAGTCATTTTTTTTTCCTGTGACCACTCCGTGGAGCTTTCTCTTGCTGCGTGTGTGTTCGTGCATGCGTATGTGTGTGTCTTATAAAGGACGCTGCCGGTGTCCACTGTTTGTCCTCTCTGGACAGGGCGCATCCTAATGGCTGTGTGTGAGTAGATGAGTTCTCCGTATTTTGCTTCCTCCTGCAGGATGAAGCCGTCTCGTTGTCACAGAGCCACGATTTGTCCCAACTGACCTTGTACCCCTTTTTCTTTTTTTTTTCTGTCCACAGCAACAAGGTTCAGCAACCACGGTCTACTGCGCGGTAGCTCCAGAGCTGGAGGGTTCAGGCGGCATGTACTTCAACAACTGCTTCCGCTGCCAGCCGTCCATCCAGGCAGAGGATCCGAGCAGCGCCGCCAACCTGTGGGAGCTGAGCGAGCGCCTGGTCGCAGAGCGGCCAGTTGGGGTTCAGGCTCTCTAATCCATGAGGAGTTGGGGCAAGTCAAACAAGGATCGAAGAGGAAGCAGTTGGTTTGAAACAAATAAAAGACTGACTGCACAATACAAAAGCTGCCAAACGTCACATCACTACAGGGCTAAACCACGGTACATGATACAGGAGGGGGGTCATATACATTCTACTCAACGGCTTTCTTTGCTTGGTTGGTTTGGATTAAAAAGGGTTTCCTTTGCTTAGAAAAATGCACGTCCCTGTTTTAATGGGCTAACATGTGCGTTAATATTCCTAATAATCGTCCGTTAATTTAATCTGTTTCTGGTTTCATTCTTTTTTGTGCTAAAAACTGTTTTGAGGGGTCGAGAAGAAATAAAAAGTAAATGAGCACAGAACACTCATGGATATATAAACCCACTAGAAGTATGATTCTTATGCCTATGTACATTATTTGCAATAATTTTATTTCTTATCATTGTCCCTATTAGTCGTCTGTACAGTATTTACAACCTCCGTGTCTGTAGGGGTAGGCTAAAGCTGGGGTGGATGTCTCATTAAACTAAAGTGTTATTAATCAGCTGAGGGATTAATAAATGTTGGGAATTTTCTGGAATGATTTTTTGGCTTTTTGAATAAAGATGGTGTTGAGTCTCATTTAAAAGATGTTTCCTGCACAGTTTTAATCAGAGTGGATGATTTCAGGCTCCTTTATAAAAATGGTCATCTTTAGTGTTGGGTAGTGTTTTTGGGGGGTTTCTGTAGATTGGTCATCCTGAAGCTTCTGGGAGGGTGGGGCGCTTTGCTTTTTAGACTTGTGCTTTATGGCAGTCCGGGTGCCGTAGGTTGTCCAGGAAACAGCATTCCAGCGTGATGATGTCTGCAACAAGGAGAAAAAGAACAACGTTCACATGCTGCTAACATTTAATAAAATATGTTTTACATTTCATGTGAAATCCTTTTTACTTTAGAGAGGAAGTGAAGGACAACTTCTCCAATAAGACCTACAGTACTAGTCCAACTCAATTTTTCTTTCACCTACTAATCTAGTTTTCTTTTCTTCCTCGTCAGTGAAAAACAAACAAACTGAGGCTGATATTTTTTCCTGTTTTCATCTGAATTTTGCAGCTGTCTTATCAGTGTCCTTTCACAGGAATGGACACAGGAGGAAGCGTTCAACACGTTCATTCTCAACAAAACCTCCGGATTTCAGGAGATTTAGTGACAAAGTATCTAAATTATTACCTTGTTTGAACACACATTGCAGCAGGAAGTGGCACGATTAGATTTACCCCACACTAAATGTTCACTTTTCCCGGTAACAGATTAAATGTAAAATAAATCAAATGCTGGCTCACGGAGCTGTCCATGGTGCTGATCAGGCATCATAGTTCTGATAATCCCCTTTTTGTTTTATTTGATTAATAAAAGTTGCTCTTTAATAGCTACATTTAAGTGTTTCTGCCCCACTTTTATAAACACATTTGAGTTTTTCTTCCCTCATGTAAATAACTTTATTTAACACATTTGACTCAAACACGAGACACAAAAGACGAAGAAGCTGCCAAGCCTGCATCGGTCTGCAGTGCAGTGGCCGCTGATCCATGGGTGTGTCTGAGTGAAGAGGGAGGGTCCTGCCTGGCTTTCATCCTATCGATCAGGCCCTATCAGAATCATCTGATAGCTAATCAATAAGCTACACTTCCTCTCTGTGAGCAGAGATTCGAGAGAATCATGGCTTTCATGAGAGGCCCACCTTAATCCTTTGACCCCTGCACACAGACACACACACACACACACACACACACACACACACACACACACACACACACACACACACACACACACACACACACACACAACACAGTTTCCATTTCCTCCCCCATCATCTCCCTGTTCCCTTCATCTCCCTCCTGTAATACATCCTCCTCAGCTGTATAATGGCTGGACGTCCATGCAAACCAAATATCCAATATACTTTAAAATGTTATTTTAATTAGCCGGATTTACAGTTGATTTTTTTCCCCTTCACTGGATTTATTTCAATTTGGGCCGTAATTGTTTACGACAGACCATTTCATTTTCCATTATTGTTTTTATTTCTTCTTGTGATTAATTCCACCTTTCAAAGAATAATTATGAGAGGATTGATTTGATTATGCCTTTGTTCTGCTCCTATTGGCTCCATTGACTGAAGGAATGCCATGTTGCCATTTCAAGCGGATATATTTAATGATCACAATCAATGTTAAAGCTCTCTCTGGACTCAACTAACCCAATAAATATCTGCCAGGAGGAACTTTACCTTCTAACTACAGCAGGCAATAAAGCCTCCGTTCTCCTCCCACCCTCACACACTCTCTTTTCATCATTCCCTTTTGAAGATGACATTAGTATTAAAATTATCGATCAATTTTCATAAAGCAGCGCTGTACGCCAGTCAATAAAAATATAGTTTTCTTTCAATATCTAATCATGTTCTTTGCTTGCAGATTGTTTTTTTAGATTTGGTTTGAGATTAAAAAAACCTTTTAAACACAGAAAATCATTTCATGTTTGTAAGTGACTTTGATTTAAATCTAAAGATGTACATTTTATGTCATCTCTGCAGATTTCTCAGACTTGTGTATTCGAGCAGTGGCAGTAAAATGTACTTTCTTTCAATGTTTGGCGCTCTATCCAAACAAAAAACAAAATCATATACGAGATGAATATTTCTGATGCGACAGGAAGTTAAATGGATTACATGGATTTAGGCCATTTTGAAGAGTTTTTCTCAGTAAATTTTGTATTAAAATAATGTTATTGCACTTTTTATAGATTTAAAAAAATGATGGATGCCAAAGTCCTTTACAGTACTGATGCCACACAATCGGTGCCACCGGTCCCTCCAACTACCAATAGCAGCCAATGAGGGCAAAGTGTTTTGCCCAAGGACACAACAATTGACACAGATGGAGCTTGGGATCGAACCGGAAACCCACCTGATTACAGGGCATACCTTCTCAGTGGCATAGTGGTAGAGTGTCCACACTGGGACTGGGAGATTGGGGTTCAAATCCCAGTCGGGTTATACCATTGACATTAAATATGAGACCCAATGCCTCCCAGCTCAAAACTCAGCTTTAAAGGGTTGGATTGGGGGTTAAACTCCCAAATGGTTCCTGAGTGCAGCCACAGCTGCAGCTAACGCTCCCAACGGGATGGGTCAAAAGCAGAGATGTAATTTCAGTGTAAGATGATGACTAATGTGACTTTAACTTTAACTAACCCCTGAGCTCTGAGGTCATAGCTTCATGAACAGCCTTGCCTTTGAGAAAAAGCTTTTACATCCTGCAGAGCTGATGAGCTAACCACCAGTCTGAGCAAAGCCAAGATCAAACTGCAATGCTGTAATATTAAAACAACTCTAATGTCCAAAATTTCTAAGCAATTTGAATGACTGTGTGTCTATATGCATTCAGGGGTCCAAACCTGCAGAAACATCCTATTATGGCCTAAATAATCAACTATATAATGCAGAACTGACGGCCGTGTAAAAGCTTCTGAGAATTTTCATGAATTTGCAGGAATGCAGTTTTAAAATGACAGAAGCTCACTTTGGTCTTGGCTGCGTTCTGACATCAGTTTATTGGTCCTGTTGGATGTAAAAGCTATTTCTCTGCATAGATGCTGTTCAAACCTATTAGGATTGTAACTTTTAAATAAAATAACTTCATGGTGCCATGAAAATGAAAATAAAGGGTTTTTTGTTCTGAAATCCTAAATTTATGAATATTTGGAACAAACGGTACAGAGGTGCTATTTTTCTCTCTTGTTCGAGAAGCTTTAGCAACAACTTTTGACATCAGCTGGCTGAAATGCACTAAATTTCTATCAAATATTATTTATTTCTCCCTGTAGATCTATGTCTGCAATCTATAACTTTCTGTTTTTTTTAAATTGAAGTCTCAACACAGCAGCTTTGAGGAAATGCTCTCAGCCCCAAATCCCCCAGCGTGTCCTCACTACAAGACAGCGTGACCTTGTAAACCCTGAGTTATTTTACTCACCCATTGTGTGGGGATAGAATGAAAAGGTAGAGAAAAAGAAGAAGAGAAGAACTAGGGGAGGCAGGGAGGGGAGAAAAGAGTCCCTGCCTGTCACAGCTTTCAAACACAAAGAAAAATGAGCACTTGGGCTGAAGTACAATTATTAGCCCCTGTCTACAGATTCATCACAGCACAGAGAGGCAGGCAGAGGCGGAGAGGTAGAGGGAGGAGCAAAGAAGAAGGGTGAGCAAAAGAAAAACTGTGTAGGTATCAGCAAAGGCATGCAGAAGATAAGACAATGAGAGGAAGAAGAAAAGGGGTGAGCAAACAGAAAAATGAGGCAGCAAGGAAACACAGAACCAGCAGAGCAGCGGATAAAGCAACACTGCTGCAGAGCCGGGAGAAAGGAGGGGGAAAGTTTAGAAAAATAAAGGAGTGAAGGTGGAAAAAGCGGGAGGCAGAGGTAGAGGTAGTAGAAAGTAAAATGAAATAAGAGGATTTGTCAGACCAGAGGCTGGTGGCAGTAATAAAGCCTGCTAATCTGAGGGAGAACGCTTGACTGCTCACACACGGACTCTCCCGACGTCCCACTTTACCACCGGGCCAAACCAAGGTCACACACACACACACACACACTCACTCACACGTGATCATGCCTGTCCAAAGACACACACACACAGGATGAGAGAGTTCCTGTTTGTTGTCACTCTGTTCCATCTCTTTTTATATGAATCGTGTGTGTTTTCAATCAAAACCCTGTCTCTGCTGCTCACATGCTTTTATTTTTTTAACTCACACCCATTTTCTCTGTCACTCATCATCTCCACAAAATTCCCCTCGCAGCCATGTTGATTTTGAAATCTCATTTTTCTCTGTTTCTTAACTGGCTCCGCCACGTGGATCAATACCCATCAAAACTATTACATAAATGCATCTGTCATGGGCGGATAGCAGAGCGAGGATGTGATGTGGCTTGTTGAGGCCACCGTAGAGTAGAAGAATATCCTCAGAGGACAGTGGGTGTTATTCTGTGTGTTACCAGATGTTTCAGGAGGAGAGAGAAGTGCTTACTGACCCTCAGTGGCCCCGTGTGCCACTAACTTCTGTTGTCTTTTTTACTCTGTTAGTTTAGGATTGTTTTTGTCTGTTTTAAAGGCAGAAAGCCCAAATGTAATGTTAGATAGAGTTAAGGGGCACAAAATTGTTTTTTGTTTTAACTAAAGTTCTGTTTGGTGTAATACTTTTTGGGAGTTCGTCTGTGGCTACAATGCCCATCACCAGGATGAGAATGTGTGTGTGTGTGCACAGCTGATTGTGTTACAAAGTGCCTTGGGCGGTTTTCTCTAAAAGAGGAGATGCTGTTTACTTTTTCAAACATTGAAGCTTCTCTGGATATGCAGTAAATCACTGGATTACCAAGGTCTGACGTGAAGAACATATTTCCATACAGGCAAAAAGAAAAAATGGTCTATGGTTCCCAGAACTATTTTTAAATGGGACAACACCCACCTTTTGCAGCCTTTTCTGCCGCCATGTGTGTCTCCACTGCCACTTTAAACACCTAATCATCTCTCCCTTTCCTGTGTGTGTGTGTGTGTGTGTGTGTGTGTGTGTGTGTGTGTGTGTGTGTGTCAGTGTTTGGCTTCAGGGATTATTTGCCTAAAAAAGTCCCCATTTGTGACATCACAAAAAGGGAAATAGAATACAGCTCTACTCCAAGCCCCTCCTAGCTATCAGAGTTTCTCAGCTTATAGCAGCCTGAACAAATGAGGGGTGGGCGTGGCCAGCAGCAGATTGTTTCCTTAAAGAGACAGAGCACTGAAACGGCTCATTCTGGAAAGTACTGAAACTGTAAAGAATAAAACAGCTTAAACCATTTCATGTGAGAAGGTTTTAGTGCATAAAATGTTTTGTGTCG